AACACAAAGCAGACCTAAAACACGGTAGGACCAACACCTCGGCCGTGGCAGATCACTGTTATAATTCAGTAGGCTCACATGACATTGACTTCTCCAAGACAGAGGTTTCTTTGCAAGCTATCTGGCTACCATGAGAGATTCGTTCATGAGGCTATCCACATATACAAACACAGAGACAATTTCAACCGAGAAGATGGACTCTGGCCTAGCAATAATTGGAAGGATTTGATAAACCATTTCGGGTCGTAATTGATTGTTCACGCTTACGGTGGCTTTCAGACCACATCCATTATTTTCGTCTCCCCCTCCTCTTTTCCGAACATAGACGCACTCGTCCATCTGAATAACTCCCAAATCGCTCTCCGTGGTGCTCACGTTATAAAAAAAAACCGCCACTTTTTTCAAATGTTCTTGCTGTGGTTTTCACACCTGATGATGATTGCTTGTGTTGCAGTCGAAACTTCGTGAGAATTTTATTGTTTTATATTTGTATTATTTTATTGTTTCCCTTCTACGTGACTTTACCGAAAGAACCAAGAACATACACATATAGTTGTGTATCCACGATGCTAAAGATTTTGTTGATCATCATCGCAACAATGCTCAGAGAGAACGAGGTGGTGGTGACGATGGTGATTATCTGTAAGGAATTAATGAAAATTATGATAATTATATTAATTATGGTTATGGAGCTTATGATAATATATGCATGTTGAACTTATTTTGCACCGTACATAACCAACCGTGATAATTATCGGAGGTGCGGGCGAAGGACAACAAACGAGACACAAAAAGCAGTTCCAAAGAAATGGCTTTTCAATCTTGATTTAAAAGTGCACAGCGTCAGTGGCTTTCTAATAGGTTGTGTTGTTGCTGATGATCATGGTGATGATCATAAAGAATATTATGTTGACCGGGATGATAATAATGATTAATGTTATTTTGATGCCGATGATGATTACAGAGACAATGATATGGTAGTGGTTTATACTAATGACGGTAACATGCATATCTCCTGGAAAATAAAGACAGGAGTGATTTGGGCAAACATCCTGTAGTGATGTACATGCTTCCGTGTGCTCCTCGCCTGTCTGTGCAACACTGCACTACAAGGGACCAACTACTCCACACTCGGCTGTACAGACACACACACTCCCCGCACGCACGTATATACACACATACGTTCGCACTCAGTTTCAGTTTCATTTATTTGGTCTAACCCTGTGAGCCATTCGGCTCTTGATTCGGGTGCCACCGTAACAAAGAATAAAATTACAAGATACATTTAAAATTTACTGCACGCAAATTGAAACAATTAAATCTTCCAGAAAAAGCACCATTTCAGAAAAAGCCCCACTCACTCGTGCGCACTCACGTATGCATGCATGCACGCACCCAATCACGTATGCACTCACGCACGTATTCACTCATACGGCCATGCATGCACTCGCAGCTCAGGGTCAGCTGTTTATTAAATAAATATTTTGATTTTGTTCCTTTGTACTTTTACATCATCGTCCTAATCACCATCATCAGCCATGGTCAATCCACTGCTGGATTAAGGCCTCCTCCCCAAGCTGCTGCCACCACTCATGATCCTGCGATGCAACGGTCCACTTAGCACCTTCTCAGCGAACGCGTTCCAACCCTTGGTTATACTTAAATGGAGATACGTTTTAATTAGTATTTATATACTGTACCAGGTATCCTACTTCCAAACACAGTCGCATCAGATTAAATTGGACGCTAAATCATTGCCGTGAATAACATATTTTTCCGATCTCCAATTTTGCAGCCAAAATAAAGGTGATAGGCTTTCTTAACCATAGTGGTTATAATGCACTTTTGTGATGCAAAAGTCACTTCACCACAAACATAGCAGAAGTTATCTGCTTTGTTCACACAAGTACGAGGCATTTCTCTGCTCACCTTGGCTAAACAGAAATGTGTCCTTTTGCATAAATCAAACACTGACAAATAAGAGAGCACGACACTGTACAATTTCTAGAGCTGATATAGGGCAATTTGTTCAGCAGAGGGATGTAAGCCTAGTTATAATTGCATCATCCATGTCTTCTAGGAATAACGTGATGCAATTAATATCATGTATGATGCAATACCAGGTTCAGATTGCATCATTCATTGTTTTGCTCAAAAAGCAAGTACTGTCCAAAGCCAGTCATAGATTTATTCATAGATCCAGCAAAAGATGAATTTTAGTCATTTCTGGTTTAAATTGAGATCCCTTTCCCTTTATAACTCACTTATCCTCCACCATTCCAAATTCAAGGGTCGTATATACTGACCCAGTAGCATATCTTGAAAACTAGAGCCAATCAACAATTTTAAGCATCATTTTCATTCTCAGTGACTCAGAATTAGTTAAGTTGGACTACATTTATTGCGGAAGCATTTTGGCTGTAGACCAGTGTAATTTATCGGTCATGCCCCAGCCAAAAATCGCCCTGTGTGGCAATGTCCTACGTTAAAACATACTCATCGCTAGACTTATAGACGTAAACACATTCGATAAGTTGCATATTTTCTTGCTTTTATCAAAATAATATGCTCATCACTAAAAAAAACACAGATTCATTTTGGATGTATGTAATGCGGGGAGCGGTGTGGGGACAGTGGTTGGGCACTTCACTATGAACATGGCATTCCGAGTCCAATTCGTGGTCATGACAAACATCAGCAGCGATGATGTCTGAATCAGTCCTGGGCCTCTGTGAAGTATGGCCAACCAACCCCCGTGACCGCCACAGTGTGGAGGAGATTTTCATCCAGTGAATACATTGACAAAGGGCCGTAGGCTATTATGATTGCATTGGTCCACTGGGAGTAATAGGATAGTTTACACTCGGCTTGGGGTTGCAAACTGTAACGTTGCAGAACATTTTAGTTGTTTTTTTTACCATTCCACCCATTCCTCCTCAAACTCCCAAATCCCCCCCCCCCCCACCCACCACTGCCATTCCCCTACAGAGAGCACAGAATGTGCATCTACCGCTGACTTCTGCCATGATAAGCCTACAAGGGCCACACTCAGAGTCAGCGACTGTCATCCCTGCCGATGTGTTTATGCTGGCCTGCGATGAGGCTGCAGTTGTGCAGTTTGGTGACATGGTTGAGGAAATCTACTCTCATAAAAGCTTGTGCCAAAATCACAGCGGTTGTCCCAATGGATACGCTGATCCCTCGCCCCCCTTCCACGAGGCTGGCAGTAGGTGGCAGTTCACCAATGAATTATTATATTGAATTTCACCCCCCCCCCCCCCCAATATACATAGTGGGTTTTCTCTAGGTTCTCCAGTTTCCTCCGACATAAAACCAAACTCTTGTTAATGGAATTAGGCAATTTTCCCTTCTAGAAAATAGTCTTGAGACTCATTGAGCTTTCCCAAATTAACAAATTGAGGCTTTTTCTCAGTAAATGAAGGGCATTATTTCTTTATTTATTTCATTTGGAATATTGCATTTTCACCACTGGGTCAGACCACCAATGAAGATGAGCACCAGATATTATTATTTAAGAAGGATAATATTTTTACTTTTAATTGATACTTTATATGTATGTATGTCTGACAAAAACATTAGCAAGCTGAAGCGTAAACACATTTTTTGACACGTGCATGACGGGTACTGCAAGATCCGACCATATCTGTCCGGTGCTCACCGAGCTGCATTAGCTTTGGTTATTGAACGAATACATTAAAGGTCACGCTCATTACACACAAAGTACTTGCCATTAATGAACTACACTACCTTGCTGATCTTGTGAAGGAGTATAAACAATCACACAAAGACGGTCGCTACAAAGACGGTCACTGCATCGCGTGCTTTCAAATGTGCTTCTACGGTCGTCTGGAACACTCTTCCTTCCGATATTAGGAAGCCACTGGGGCTATGCACTTTTAAATCTAAATTGAAAACTGATTTCTTTAGAACTGCTTTTTATGTTCAGTTTCTTGTCCTTTCCCCGCAACTCTGTTTAGCACAGTTGGCTACACATGGTGCGAAAAAAATTCAAAATACATACAGGTGCAGACCCTTTCCACCAGCAGTGACATGAGGAATCAATTGCAGGACTGCACCTTTACCTTTCAAAAATGCATTTATTATGATGGTGGTGGTAGTGGTGGTGCAGGGAGGAGACCTAGGACATATCAAGTCTTCCTCAGGACCATCGCGCCTCCTGCGTTGTTTGCTGTTTTCTCTGTTGCCACGGGAGCGAAAACCGCACAAAGAGAAAGTCACCCGAGGTCTTGCGTGGCGCAAACGTCTATAATGAATCTACCCGCAATGCGGCTCCGGGGAGCTCGTCTGTAATTGTGATCGCTCCCTTCGCGAGGGTAATGGAGACCAGGATGTCATTGCCACGGCCATTAGTATAATAGAAGACTGGGTCCTCCAAACAACCTTTTAAGTCAATAAAAGCACAAATGTGTAAATGTATAAAAGAGAAGATCGGAAATTAGCTTATCTGTGATGGGACCACTATGGATAGAGTGGCCATCACATGTGCACTTGGAATAATTGCGAGTTTGCAAGAATTACAAAAGTAACATTTGAGCTGATATTGCTGGTTTAATTGTTTATTTTCGATATCGGTCGTGACAATGTAGAGCAAGTGCCTTGTGTTGGTTCACATAGAGGTTGTGTCACTAATCACTGCCACACGGACTCCTTAGCCATCTCGAGTCTGCACACGTTGGGTTTTAAACACCAACATTCTCATTGAGTGGGGGAGATGTGCATGCCAGCAGGCTTGGTTTGAGTCTGGCGTTGCTCACATAGTACAGAACACAGTGCCCTGGAGCTCACACGAACCTGTAAATTGCAGATATCATAAATCACTTTCTCCATCTCATCCCACCTTTCCTGCCAGCTGCATTAACGAAGAGCTGCGTCGCAAAGCCAAGGGTGCACTGGTAAAACTATGCGATTGCTTGAAACGAAAACCCCTTCCGCCCGTCGTCTGTTCCTGACGCACACAGGACTCGACCCTTCCAAGGACCCCTGCCGCAACGTCAAATGCAGCCGGCGCAAGGTGTGCATTGCCCGTGACTACAGCTCCGCCAGCTGTGTCAGCCGCAAGCGCCTCGTGCACAGGTGAGCGACGAGGGGGGATGAGGGGCCGGTTAACGCGTGCAGAGGAGGTGTGTGGGGGAGATGCAGCACCTCAATGACGACACCAGTGCGCCGTGACGGTGGGCGCCCATGCATGTGCAGTTTGGCTGGCGCCTGCTGTGAGTTAAAGCTGTGAAAAAATACGTCTGCGACATATAGTAGATTATGAGTGTTCTTTCGGTAAAGTCACGTAGGTAGAAAAATAAAATAAAACAAAAAATAATATATCATGACGTTTCGATCGCAACACAAGTGGTGTTGCGATCGAAACGGGACTTTACCTGAAGAACCAAAGAGTATGCATTCCTGCAGTCACAAAAGCTTCAAATCAAGATTATGAGTGTTAGGAGCAACCAATTGGAGGGTGCAAGCTGTCGCCAGAACAGATGTGGTGTTTCTTGCAAGCGTTGTGGCAGTTCAGTCCAATGGAGTTTTAACCTCGTAAGGAAATTATTGAGGATAGTTCACTAACTTGCATCGGGGACCAGTCTAAGAATTGCTACAAAGGGCAGCGTTTTGGTTTTTACATAATGGCAGTGTTTTTACTCTGGCAAATTTTACCATTCATACTTTGTCGATGAAATAAGCAGTAAAGCTTCACCCATTTGCGAAGGAAGTTTATTTTGACATCACAAATTTCCAGGGAATTTTTGAAAATCGAACGACCTTCGAATCGAGTAATTGGACGCAGGATGGTGAGCGTGCTGACCACGAACCTGTCAGCAGACATCGGTTCCTGCGTGTGTGGATGACATGGGAACAGTCAGTGCATCCCGAGAGGCTTAAAACTATATTAGCAACATGCCCCCGCTGTCGTGTTCTCCTGATATCCGCAGATCGTTCCGGTTCAAGCTGAGCCGCTTGGGCTGGTGTAAGCATTGTCATGTTGCACTAAGACAAGGACTGCCCGGTAGGATGCCTATATTAGCCTGCAACAGAAAATTAAAATGTGTGCACTGACCCACGTTCACCCACACTGGGATGCAAGGACACCGTGCCAAGTTGGCACGGGGCAGGGGGTGACGACCTCGCCCTGAAGCCACAGCTCGAGCTGTTCTCTCCATTCTGTGGTTACAGTGATTACCCCAGGGGGGCACATTAATCTGCAAATGCGGACCAACACTCTTACGCCAGCGATTGACGTACTGACGCGCCAGCTGACACACTGCCGCTCAGTCTGACAACCTGACAAACGTTCCGAGTGTGCTGATGACGACAATCTGTTCTGCCAAGGGAGTTGCAGAGCCATTTAGAATGCGCTAGAATGAATTGCTCTTTGACCACAGGTGATCTGTATTCCACGCCCGAGCCTACGATCTACACAAGCCATGTTTATGTTTGCGCAAACACGCATGTGCGTGAAACAACAGATGCCCAATGTATGCACATGCTCGTTGGCAAACACAAGCACGTTCATGTACTCGAGTTTGCAAGCGCGGCAACATTTTCCTGCTCGGGGGCTTCAACATCTGTAAACTGCCCGCGCCAAACACCCAACGCCAGCGTGGAACAAATCCCAGACCTGGTTCAACCTTTTAAAATGCAACCCGCTGTTTAACAAATACTTGCTCGTGCTCCGAGATCAATACTGCTGGGACAATGGGCCCTTGTAGTCCCTTTGTCTTTTGTGCTTGACAGCCCACACACAACACGAGAGTATATCACATAGCGAGGCGTATATATAACGTATGTACATGCTCCCAGCTCCACGCAGTCAGTTGAATTGTGCCTTGTGAAATGGTGTGCGGTACAGGGCCAGCCAATGTAGACATGGCGATATTGGTAATTTAAAGGAAATTGTTGAGTAAATTATGTTTGTCATATGCGGGAGGGTACGTGAATCTTTTGTGCGTTCATCAAAGTAATTGCTCTGTAAATAAGAAATAGGGAGATGGGGGGTTATTTGAATTAAGCTGGTAATTGCTATTTACACGGTATGGACGGAGGGCACTTTTGAACGCTATACATTTAATTATTTTAAACAGTTGCTGTGTGCATAGCATAATTAATAGTAGACTGTGTGGGGTATGAGGTTTTCATTCTCTGAATTAGTTAAGTGCTGTGATGTGTATATTTATTTTTTGCCTGTTTGTATATGTCCTTGTATTTTTAATTCACATTCTATAAGTAAATCATATTTCAGACAAGTTGGCATGAGGTCACTCATAAATGGGTCATGAACCACGAAATTGTGGAATATGACACAAAAACATGTGAGATGGCATGTTTTGTCTACTTTAATAATGATCATGATTTGTTTTTGATGGAACACCCCAGTCCCATCTGTCCCAGGGGGTACACGATGACTGAACCTGACCTGAAATCAGGCATGACTCTGCCAGTAGTGGGGCGATTATAGCTATGTGTAATCCCAATTGAGTAGTTTGCGGGTAATTTGTATAATTTAGAAAGTTTCATACCCTAACGCCCGACACATAACGGCCGACTAATTTTGAATAACTTCAGGGGATTTTTGACGTGTACTGTAAAGCACACGTAACATTTTCATGATTGATACACCCTCGGTAAGAACCAGTGTGGCCACCAGGTGCAAACCACAGACCTTTGCAATCAGTGGCTTGGGCCAAGTCTCCACCAAATGAAACCCCCCATTTTAAGTTATCTCTAGCCATTACTATTGTATCCATTCACAAGGGCTGTCAGCTGCCAGAGGTAGCGCGGGGGTGTGAGGGTGCGAGGGTTGGCGGTGATCTAAAATCGTGAAATACAGAAGGTTGCAGCTCCCGTGTACCAGGTCAAAGGTTGAAAAAGTAGGATTCTCTAAGAAAATACAGCCATGTAGATGTGTAAGAAATATTTTCAGCCATTCTGCACTTTTAAATAATGATGATGATGGTGGTGGGGCCACTTAAAGGCTAGATTTTTCCATTACATAGCTGCAACTCCAGTGAATGCTACCGCTAAAGCGAAATGTAAAAACTTTCTTTTGCGAAATGTTGAATGTAACACCAGCAAATACCATTGAAAACACAAAATATAAACTTGGTTTGCAAAAAGTATATCGAAACACAAAGCAAACATTATTTTTTGAGTTTATGTCGTGTGCCAAGATATATGGGAATGGGCCAAAACTTTTTGAGAACATTTATTAACATGCAGTCTTTTTTATAGCCCAGTACAGGTGCCAAACACACCACTGCAAGACTCCTGAAAACGAGTCTTCACACTCGCGGTGAGGCCTTGTCTGGGTAAATAGAGGATACTGATATTAATACTGTAATCATTACTAATTATATAAATATCAGGTGAATGGTTTTATTTTCATTTCTGAGGATTAGTCTATTCAATGAAATTACAATCAATGTATAATTGTAGTTTTCTTACATGTTCAATTATTATTTCCACCATCACTACCATACAAAGCACCCCGCACCCAACCTAGGATCGCCCGACTCTCTAGCTGGCTTAGTGGGCAAATTCTGTCCCTGAATTGAAGCTTTCGTGACTGCAGGAATTATTTTGGTAAAGTCACGTAGAAAGAAAATAAATTGAATAATACGACGTTTTGATTGCAACATAAGCAATCGTCATCAGGTAGAAAACAAACCTAGTGAACTTAGAAATACAATGCTATCCAACACAGAGAGTCGGCTAACACAATAGTCAGACAACAGTCAGCACCTTACCTGGATGATTACGTTCTTCCAAAGATTGCTAAATTTGAGAGAGAGACAAAACACAGACACGGGGACACACAGACAGACAGACAAGCAGAGAGAGACAACACAGAGACACACATAGAGACACACAACATTCATAATAAAGGTTTTTGGGTTAGATCGCGTTTATTTATAAATGTGTCGTAACCCTCCACCACCCGACATGGCCAATCAGCAAAAAAAGTGTCACATTGACAAAAGACAAATAATTCACTACATTAGCCCACCGAAAGAACCAAAGAGTAAATTACGTACCACTTGCCAGTTGTTTCAGTCTCACCCTGGTCCACTCTACTCGTGCATTCGTGAGGCCGTTCAATGTCGTGTGAGTTTAATCCGCTAGAGCATGTGGTACAGAATCAAAGCGTGGCCTGGGTGAGAGAAGCCCCTGCCTTTGAGAGCTATTGGAGGCCGGGTGGTGCATTGAGAATCAGACTGTTCCCTTCTTTCTGGTGAGCTCTCGCTACAAAGCCTCTGTGAGCGTTTTGTTAATCAATATGAAAGGGCCGATATTGATTTGTTCAGCTTTTCTCTTTCCTTTGCTGCAAGATGAAGCCTTGACCCTCATCAATCTTTGGACGGAATTTACGTCGATGTTACCACAGCTTTGATTGCGTTTCGATAGCATCATCATTACAATATACTTTTTTGTGTCAGCTCGTTTTCGATTATTACTGTTATCCTTTGATTCGAGAACAACAATTGCAACCATATAAGGGAAACATAACTATGGGTAAATTGGCAAAAAATGATTACTATTGGGTTATGCAGTGTTATTAATATTTCGACTTTGCGTTCCCATGCTATGTTAGTCTCAATAGAGATGTGGTTGATATTGAAGTGTCAGCAGCACCTGCGATTAATACACCACAGACATTTATGGAAACACCGGATAAATTGCTTGGAGAGAGTGAGATAGAGTGAGAGAGATGCTCTCTTGCTTTGATTTCCCTTTTTTTGCGCATTCTCGCACCGCGTTGTGTCACCGACTTGTGGCATGAGATTTTCAAGAGTACGTTTGTCCTGGACATTAGTTTCAGGATTAATTTTCCACCGTCAAAAAAATTCAGGGACCCAAACCAACTCAGTTTTTCTACATTTCCAGTGCAGTCTACCGTGTGAATGTACGTTCATGTGCTCTACCCGCATGATTACTGCACAGGGAGGTGACATCAAAATAATATTCCTCTCGCGGTCGGCATGACTTTTTCTGAGCATTGTTATTAAAATATTTTTTGGGCTACCATCTTATGCACATCGTGAGTTTTTTCTGTACAAATCTGGCACAATCATCATCATGAC